AATTTAATATCCTTGACATTCTTAACTAAATTTAGACAGTCTCGAGCAGGCTGAGAGAAGCATCCATTATGGCAATGTCTAGAGCCAGAGTTAATACAGGTCCCCAAGATAATTATATTTTTTGGTGCTCTATAAAAGTCTTTGAATTATATGTGGGAAAGAGTATGTTGAAAAGGGGAAAACAGTACTACTTCTTTATAGTTGAGAGAAATTCATCTTTGGCCTGGAATTTGTATATCCCACTCAGGAAACTAGAAGTATCATATTTTACTGAATCCAGCCTCCTCAAAAGGTATTTCANCCACTCAGGAAACTAGAAGTATCATATTTTACTAAATCCAGTCTCCTCAAAAGGTATTTCAATAATCACCTAAATCATCGTCCAACTCCATATAATACTTTGAGTTCCACAAAAGTATAATTTGACTTTATCACATTTCCAGGGATGCTTCAGCGATGTCTTGACTTTATATATTGTTAGTTGCCTGGACTATCTGTCCCTTTGTGTAGTTCCTTAGAAGATAGGCATTTCCATGCAACTAGCACCCTGTTTTAATCTTTTATTAGATTTCATTTTTTCTGCTATGTGAGTCACAGCTTGATTCTTTGAGAAGCAAATACCACTTACACTTAATTAACAAAACTAAGATGATTACAAAACTAGTTTATGTTATCCCTCTATAGCCTATTGGTTTTTATGTCACTATACAACTATTTAGAGAGTCATATATGCTAGGAAAAAAATTCTAGAANTGTGTGTGTGTGTATGTATGTGTGTGAATTGATTCATTCACCTTTAGCTCCCTCCAATAAACTACCAAGTTCTTCTGCCACTACATTTCAATTACACCAAGTTATCGTATTAGAACACTGAAAGAGAAAGATTGCTTTATATGATTCGAGTTTCATTTTCCACCTTGGTTTTTGACTCTTCCTCCAATTATTGAAATAATGTATGTTTCACAGTAAGAAATCTGGACAAACACTCTACATACCCCACATTTTATGACGTGGAGGTAGACAAGTTAAAACGTTGGTGTATTTCATTTTAGTATTTCTATGCATGTCTTTATCTACGTAGGTAAATTTATAGTTTTGAAAGCTGTCATGCCATTAAAAACTTTTATAAACCTTTTAATAGTTGCATCATTTTTCACTGGATTACTATAATTTACTTCACTATTCATTAAAGTTGGATTTTACTGAAGGACATATTAGTGATGTCAGAGTTCTTTTAATTTAATTTCTGACTCGTTTTCCACCTGACAACACAATTCAACTCTACTTGATATATGAACAATTCTACAAATCTGCACAGAAAAATGACTGTCATATATCACTTATATTACAAGCAATTCACTTACTGTGATGTCCATTTATATATATGTACAAATTTAAATGTAAAGACTCAGTGAAGCAAGCTTTAAAACTTGTGAAACTCTCCATATATCTGAGGAACTTCTGGCAACACACCTGGATTAGGAGGGTAAGAGTATGCAGCTTCTGGTAATGATTCAGGAGATGCATAATGTGAAAAAATGGGCTGCAGAAAATTATAAGAAATAGGGATCTGAGATTGAAAATACCCATTCACTGGCACAAAGTCATTTGCTTGTGGCTCCCCAGAAGTGTAACCAAAACACTGAGTGTGTGGAAGATTGGAAGGTGTGTTCTGGACAGTGCTTACAACTGTAGTCAGCATCCCAGGTGGTGGCTGCACTTCATGCAATGTCATCCCTTGGCATGTCGGGGTTATGGCATTCCTGCTGCTGTTGCTGTAATGATAAACACATTGGCATGTCTGGGTTATGGCATTGCTGCCGCTGTTGCTGTAATGATAAACACACCAAGCATAGTGTGGATATGAAGTTCCAAATGAACGCTCAGAAGAATTATATATTGGGGTGCATGCAGACTGCGCCTGGTCATTCCAATATGTGGCAGCATTCTGAGTTAGAAATTTGGAAGTTTCATGATCCTGCTGTTCAGAAAAAGAGTATTGTGCTGTTTGATTCACATTAAGTGTTGTGCTCCCAGATGCTCCAAAAGATATAATACTGGAATCCAATGTATCCTTCTTATGTTTTTCCTCAGACTCAGTTTTTGCAAGCTGTGCTTTATTTATTTGCAGCACAGATATTTTATTCTGGATAACTACGGGTTCCGGAGAATTGATGAATGTGGAATATTTAATAGATGAATTTAATGTTTCATTATCTTGAAGTTCAAGGACTGTGCCATTCATTTCTAGGTTGGTATGGACATCCCTCACAGAACAGAAAACAGGCTTTGAACACACGGATGCACTAAGCTCAAGAGAAGGATCGGTTCCTGGTTTTATGTCTGAAAGACAAGATTTCTGTCCAGGATCTGGGGAATTTTTAGGAAATTTATGTGAAGGTGCTTCGTGGTCTTTGGAAAAAGTGTCATCTAGACTTTTCTGGTCACAAATCACAAAGGAACTACAGTCTTTATCACATTCTGTTTCAGCAGCACTAGAATTCACATTTCTTTTCTTCATGCTATTTAAATTTCCCTGTTGTCCAGTGAAGTGTTCTGACGTATCAGACAAAATATCAGTTGTATCTATTTTGTTTTCTGACTTTGATGTGTACGTGTCTTTCAGGTTCTTTAAAGGTAAAAGTGAGCCAGGTAGTGATCTTTGCATTTCAGTCTTTTTTGGAGATGCATGGTTTCTTTTCAGCTTGTCAGATGAACTTGATCCTATTTCATTTCCACTTTGGGGACGAGATCCTCTATTCCTATGAAGTGTAACACATACATACAACAACTTTAAATATACAGACTCACAAAATTTTAAAAGAAACACATTTGAAATTATTCAGGAGAACAGTTCTCACAATTTATATTTTCTCATTGTATTGGCAGTATACGAGTAACATATTTTACCAGTTTGACTCCCTTAGTTTGAATTTAGATACTGCTGAAGATGACATACTCTCCACTTCAAATATATTTCCAATATTGTAATTAACTATTCTGTGCTTTTGGTATTTCCTGATGGAGGCTTTTAAAAGTAGGAAACTATCATTATTCAATTGTTCAGTGTAGTTTCTAAGTCATATGTCTCCAATCCGTTCACAATGTTCATTAATTTCAAATAGCTATATATAACTTGTGAAACCACCAGCTGTTCACACCTCCTCCACCCCCATCCAAATGATCTTTTCCCTGTTATAAGAAACTAAACTTTTTTTTTTGCTGGTCCATCTTTGAGAATGGGAAAAGCAGAACTCCAAAATTTCTTGCCAATTTAATAACGTTGACATTCTTAACTAAATTTAGACAGTCTCGAGCAGGCTGAGAGAAGCATCCACTATGGCAATGTCTAGAGCCAGAGTTAACACAGGTCCCCAAGATAATTATATTTTTTGGTGCTCTATAAAAGTCTTTGAATTATATGTGTGAAAGAGTATGTTGAAAAGGGGAAAACAGTACTACTTCTTTACAGTTGAGAGAAATTCATCTTTGGCCTGGAATTTGTATATACCACTCAGGAAACTAGAAGTATCATATTTTACTGAATCCAGCCTCCTCAAAAGGTATTTCAGTAATCATCTAAATCATCGTCCAACTCCATATAATACTTTGAGTTCCCTGAACGTATACTTTGACTTTATCACATTTCCAGGGATGCTTCAGCGATGTCTTGACTTTATATATTGGTAGTTGCCTGGACTATCTGTCCCTTTGTGTAGTTCCTTAGAAGATAGGCATTTCCATGAAACTAGCACCCTGTGAATTCATTTTTTCTGCTATGTGAGTCACAGCTTAATTCTTTGAGAAGCAAATACCACTTACACTTAGTTAACAAAACTAAGATGATTACAAAACTAGTATGTTATCCCCTTTCTTTTTAAAAAAATTTGCAACATTTTTCTTATCCTCACATCTTAAGACTGACTGGAGTCCATTTATGACTGCTCCCTTTTTTGTATACTTTTTAGTAGACCAGTCACTAAGCCCCATCAATTCTTTAAGCAATGTCTGTCAAATACGAATTTTCTTTTTTATTCTGTAAGCCATGGCTGACTTACTACTTCTTACTCCGAATCTCCCTACCCTTTAAACTACTGAGAAAACACATTTCACATGGCATTAGACTTCAAATATACAGAGTGAAGTTCAAACGTTAGGCCTATACTGAAGACTAATGTGAAACCTCCTCTTTCTCCATCCTTAGTGTACTCTTGCCCACTCTATTAAATTGTTCCAATTCTAAACTCATTTCTCAAATGATGTCAATAAGCATTGTGTCGTGTGTCTTTGCTCACATTATTTCCCATAAATTAAATACCCTCTTCATTTTTACTTTCATTTGGTAACATATTTTTCCTTAAGGGAAAGCTTTGGTCTGTGTTCTTCCATAAAATAAATAAAACTTCTCTAACAATCCAAGCTTTCTTTTTTTGCTTTCCTTCTCAATACCTACACTTTTTTGAGAACCACCCTCAGTTTACTCTTGATGGGGAGTGCACCCCGTTTTCTTGTGTTTTTGAATTATGTCTATATGCCAGTTGTTTATTAGGTGTTTTCTTATAAATGTAGTGTGATTGACGGTGATTAGATTCATAGTCTTTAGAACTAGTTTAACAAATACAATCAGAGCAAGCAGATTTTCATTTTGCATATAGGGTTCTGTTTCTGTACTTCTGAACTAAGAAATTCTTGAAAGGTTGTGACAGAAGCCTCTGAGTGTAGAGCAAGGGCAACCGTTAGTATGGGCTCTGGGGCTAGACTGCCTGGTTTTAGATCTGGCCTCCCCTATTTACTAACTCTGTGATCTTGGGAAAGTTATTTCATCTTTCTATGCCTCAGTTCCTCACTATTAAATAAGATAATAATAGTGCATACATCATAAGGTTTTTGTGAAGAATAAATGACTTAATATTTATACAATTCTTAGAACAGTGCCAAGAACATAATAAATGCTAAATAAAGTGTATTAAAATGTGCTTAAATAGGAATTCTTCTAACTCCTTGATAATCATCTATTTAAAAATATCTATCCTATTTCCCATCTGGATGATAATAGTCAAATAGACAGGCTTCACTAGCCAGTTTTTAATTTTAACAACATTGGACATTTTATACAGATGCTACTTAGTAAGCACTTGGTCACTCATTTAACTCACATTCATAATTTTCGTAATATTGGTGTTCCCCTAAGAAGGTATCAAAATTCATGTGCTTCCAAGAAATGTTTTCTAAATACAATAATTTTTATATTTAAAAAAATATCCAATACCTTAGTTAGTAAATTCATTTTGCAAGGCATTATTTAAAGCATTCTCTACTTTTATAATTTTGCGAACTACTTGTTTGCTTAAAGAGTAGATTTGTTCCAAAAAAAATACTTAACACAGGTTTCATTTTAAAACAGTCATGCCTTTGGCTTTTTACAAGTGGAGATAGTATTTTTCTCTTGTTTCTGATAGTTTTCACATTTGTACAGTGATAGGTCGTTTGTTAGAGGAATTTGTATCGTTTTTCATTATGCACTCTGAAACTGAGCCACCTTCACAGAAGTAATGAATTTATTGACATTTTCTACATGTTTATAACATGAATATTCATCTTTTCTTTTCTCTTTCGTTGTAAAGTCTTCCTTCTATTGCATTGCATTTGACATAAGATAAAGGAAATGGTTAATGTAGAATTTTTAGCACATATAATCTTCGTAAGTTTGATTGTTTTCATGACTTTCACAATATGGGCCATTTTTCCTAAATCTTTGCGAGGGGCAGCCATTACATTTTCTCTTGGCAGTGAATTAGCTCAGGAAGAAGTAACAAATCAAACCAAAGCATTCCTCGAAACCTGTTTGTCTAGTTTCTTTGCCATTACATTTTTAAGAAAGTGAACTGTTCCTGAAACCATGACAATTTCAATGTATGTTTCAATGGCTGCAGATTTTAACATTATAGCCCCTTGCTTGTGGTTTTTCACCATATCCAAAGCATTTTCTTCTGTTATAAAACCATTACCTATGTTATCTTCTTGCAGCACCTGAAAGTATTTTTTTAAAATTTCGAAGTGATCTGTACATCTCAAAGTGAGCTCTTGTAGTTTCTTAATGTCTGCAAGTTGAGCTTGATCTAATATTTCGCTAATAAAACAAATATCTGGGTATGAAAGCAAAGTACCGCTAAACCTCAATTTTCTATGCTAATTGTTGCATTGTTTATTAGACCATCTGTCTTTCTGGAACTTTCTGGAAGCAATCACAGCATCTTCCTCAAGCCCAATACTGGAAATTGGTTCATCATTCAGATCTTTAGCCAGAGTATCATATATCTTCTGCAACTGAGAAAAAGCACATTGATTCATTTTGAGTAGCACTTCATTCTTCTTTTTCCTTGAGTATTCTTTGCTGAAAGATTGTCTCCTCTCTTTCCAAGCAAGATTTTTTGCAGAATCAAAAAAGATATGTTCCAGACCATACAGAGATATTGTAATACTCACTGCCTCGTTGCTCTTGATAAAATTAACTTTTGAGGAGGTAATTTCTATGATAACCCACAGATGGTCTTGTTTTCCTGGATACGAATGAGTTTTATTAAACTCCCTATATACACCGATAAGCTTTCAAGTACTTTTTCTTAAGGTTTCTAGGTCTCCTACACTATCTCCAAAGTTAATGCCACAGGTAAATGGAACAGAAAGAGAGAAGTCAAAGCAATCAGAACAATGTTTCATTACGGCTTCACATTCATTAATCTGTCGTTTGTATTTTAAGAATGCATAGTATGAATTATTTTCCCTTTTTGCGTCTTCAAACACTTCAATTCATTGATCACGATAATTCTGCAACTCACAGAATGCATTATATTTTAACCTTCCTTGAAAAGCAGGATAGAAACTGGACTGCTGTTGACATTCTCATTGACTGCCAAGCAGCTCACTATACAATGTCTCATCATAACAAAGCAAGCTTCGGAATGTTGGTTCACCTCCTAAGAGGCTTTTTTTTGTTTTCAATGAATTGAATAGTCTCCATCATCATTTGAAGTTCTATTAAAGTGTCCACAGCACACGGTTTTAACCTGTGTTTGCAATTATTCCACAAGTTTTGTTCTACCAACAGTTCTCTTGAAATCAGGATTTGTTCAAGTGAACATTCTTGTTTTCTTTCAAAAGCTTCAACAAATAAAGGGAGAATATTTTGACAAACTTTAGTTTCTTCCTGTAGAATCTGCAAAGAAGAAACTTCATCTGCCCTCTGCAAAATTTGAGATAGGTTAGCTATAAGAGTCCTACGATTAGCTGAGCAATGTCCTTCTTTTAATTCATTTATATGTGATGTACGTTTCCTTTGAAGAGGACTGACTTTAGAAGTTTCGGAGTGAGCATGTAAAATAGGCATACAATTAATTCCTAGAATGACTGGTTTGGAAATACAGGCTATTTCTGAATGTAATGTTGAGTTAGACTGAGAGCCATCACCGACTTTAACTTCCCTCTCCTCTCTTTTGTTAAACTGATTAGAAACTGTGTGATTCAAAGAGACTGCCTCAGTAGTAGTATTGTTAATGCTTAAATGATAATCAGTAAAGTTACTTTTAATTGTTTTCTCATTTAAGTGGGAGGATTGCTCTTCGAAGATCTTATTCTTTTGATTTTTGTACACAGCCTCAGTAGTTGATCCTCCAGTAATGCTTTTTTTATAAACTCTATCGTTTTTTTTCCCTGCTTGTTTAACTTTCCACATTTTTCTGTCCTGAATGTCTTTCTTTGCAATCCATTTTTCTAAAGAATCCTTTATATTATCCCTTAAGAGCAGAGAATTATCATTGTGAGATAGTATCTTCATTATATTTTCCCAAATCTTTTACTAGTACTGTTCAGTTACTGATGTCAGATCCAACTCAGAATTCTCATTAACATTTGTTTCATTCCCATGTACATGGAAGCAATTACTTGAAGAGCATTGTTCTGTCTTTAGTAACTCTTTTCCCCTTCATCTCTGTGGATGTGATACAGCAGTAGATGTTGCACAACAATGTAAAGCAAAATGTCTCTGTTTATCCCAATAAAATTTCGAAGATTCTCTCTCACTATCTGTCATTGGAGGGGCTGATAACAATTGAGGAATACTGTAATTTTTCCTTGCTATCAAATTTAGGTTTAATGAGCCCATAAGATTGTTTCCTGAAATTTCATAATGAAGTTTCTGTTAATACGTATTTTTCTCCCCACATTGAGTTAAACGTAGTAGAAAATTCTTCAGAACTCAGAATTCCTACATTGCTGTAGTTTTTCCTCTTGCTTTCGTCTACACAGGTGAAATTTTTGTTTGTATGAAAATCCTGCTTCTCGTCTCCGTATATAAATTCTATGTTGTTTTCTGAAGACGAAGCACCATTTTCCTCTTTAGCCTCATTGTGGTTTTCTTTATCCTTATCTCCTTGTTCTCTGAAATTAATATTCAGGCATATATCACTGTTCAAGTGTGTATTACAGAACAGACTGTCATGTTGACCTTCATCTTCAGTGTGAGGAATTCCTTGGCAGTCTTGTTGATTGTTCTCCGATGACACTGGCTCATTTTCATTTTTCCTATGGACACACACATGTTCTCTAGTTATGCTGCAGTTCGAATTGTCATGAGGTGAAATAACTGTATCAATGAGCAGTTCTTTGGCCTGGGGAATGTCTTTTGCTTCCTGGAACGCATCAGTCATGATGCTAAAATAATTCTGATTTGTTTATTCCAATTTCAGTTCCACTAGCTTTTGAGCAATGGCAAAACCTGTATGAAAGTTGTCTTCATACTCCAAAGAGTGTTGAGTATGCTTTTGTGAAAGGTTCTCTATACTTGGAGTAAGGTTATTTTGTAATTCCAATGCTAGCTGATCTAGTTCATCCTTATCCTTTGTGGCAGATGTGAAAGATTCTGGTATTCCAAACTCTTGAGTAATTAATGTTTTATCAGAGTTTTTCCCCAAAGAATCAAGATTCTCACCCTTTTTGTATTCTTGGTGCAATGAAATATAATTATCTAGTGGGCTGACTTTTGTTTCATTAGTAAAATAATTGTCAGTTTCTTTCCATAAAGTTTGCTTCTTTTCGTATTTGGAATTGTTTTCTGGGTCAGTGAAGTTTCTCATCTTTGCAATATTTTGAATGTGCTCATCTATGTGTTCTTTCTTTTGGAGAGGAAAAACTGTAGACATTTGGTGATCAGTTTGATACGCAGTTTTTAAATTAGAAGACTGTAATTTCTGAGAGGTGTGACTATTGTACTCTTTTGTACAAGTATTCACTGATCCATAAGAGTTACGTGTCTCACTGCTTTGTTTAATTACAAGTGGGATGTTGCTTCTCTGTTGGCCTCTCTGGGCTTTTTCCTCACTGTGTTTTTGGCTCTCAAATTCTGAAACTACATTTGACAAAGGAATTGGCAAGGAAAAATTGTCTTGGTCCTTACATTGTCCTGTTAAGGTCACTTTATTCGAAGGTGTACAATCGTAGTCCATAGAGTCCATGCTGTGGGCCTGAGATTGTGAATCATCAAAAGACATTTTGAAGCGAGGGGCATCCAAACAATTAGTAAGAATAGCCTGATTATCAGGAACCACTTCAGGTGAAGAGGCAGAAGTAGTTGGCATGGGTGACAGGTTTATTTCTGAATTAACATAACCTGAACTTTTCTCAAATGGCAAAATCTCATATAAACCTGTGGTATTATTCTGCTTTTCCATGGCTTTTGCTCTCCTAATCAGTCTTGGGTCTTTGATAAGTTTTGAAGTAATAACTGTGGCTCGATACACTATTGTTTTAAAAGAGAAAGATCACTTAAAACATTTTTAAGATATGTCAAGTTTAACAAATAGTCATCATTGACACTTTCTTCGGTATTACTGGGCATAAATGAAAGACCTGAATCATGTGCTTGAGAACTGTCTCTGATTTCTGCTAAATTGTGCTCTGTCTGTCCACTCTATGTCTCAAGTATAGGAATGTTCCCATTTTGCACATTCCATAGGAATTAGAAATCTTTGAGTTGGAAGGATTATTCTCTGCACTTAGTGCCTTGCATGAAAAATTTTCCTGAACAAATGGATTTATAGGTTTCCTGAAATGCTCAAAGATGACTGTAGCATCTTCTCCTTTTCCAATTCTTTTGGCCACTGTACAGTTATTCAGTGAACATATTCTTTCTGTGGAAATAAAAGACAGTAAAAAAAATAAGTAACAAGAAATGTTTCTATAGAAAACTCTATTAATACAAGCAAACTATGTTATGATTGATTTCAATTGAAAGTTTAGTAACTTAATGTTAAAATGCTTTCTCAACAGAAAAAGCAAAAGGAGAAGAGAATGAGTAACAAAACAATACTGTAGAAATGATGTGGCATGAAACTCTGTCCTACCCCAGAGAACTTTCTAAGAAACAGTATTTGCTATGAGAAAACTGAATTCTGACAAGAAATTAAAAAATTAAATAGGAATAAGAACGTTTTTCTCACAGACTAAGCCTTTCTTATATTAATTTCGAACATTCAACAACATCTAGGCAAAATTGCCTCCATTTACTGTTACCTTGCTTTCCCCCCTTCTATCACAGGAAAACAAAAAAGGAAAGGAAAGGAGAATGAGGTGGAGAAGTAGGGGGGAAAAACCGAAACGATTCCACAAAATCTTTTCCTGGAAGCAAAGCAAATCACTACCCCACCTCCTCAATTGTGAAATACGTATTCCCACTAATGGTTGAAGTACATAAAAACCTGGAAAAAGAAAGCATATTTTCCTTCATAACTTACAGAAATCTATTCCTAAAATTTCATGAGGAAACTCATGTAATAATAAAGGAACTTATAAAAATGCATATTTAACAAGTAAATAATTTATCTTAAAATGTTCACAAAATATTCACAGCTAAGTAACACCATAAATATTCTTTTATTAAAACAGAAATTAATGATGAAAAATTGCTTGTGACGTTTATGAGATATATGAAGTCATAATTATATAACCAAGAAGCACCACAATGTTCTTTTTCAAATGTAAAATCTCTAAATTTTATAATAATTTGTGATTGTATCCTGTTAATTACAGTCAGCTATAGTGAAAATATGAGCACAGATAAAGAAATGTAGTTCTTAAGAGTGGGAGTATAATGGAAAGATAAAAGGAAAGGTAGATCCCTACACCTCCTCATACCAAAATACAATTCATTGAAAAAAAATCATAAATGGACTAGAAAAAAACATGAACATTTTTATTATCTTGAAGTAGGAAATTACTTTTTAGACCTGACTGAAAACAGAAAAGAAAAAGATGATGTTGATTACATATAAATTAAATATTTTAATAGGCCAAAATGCAAAGAACATAGTCAACAAAGTGGAGAGGCACCCTACAGAATGGGAGAAAGTATTTGCAAACTACGCATCAGACAAAGGGATAATATCCAGAATATATGAGGAACTCAAACAACTGAACAGCAAAAGTGCACAATTTCAAATTGGGCAAAGGACCTGAACAGACATTTCTCAAAAGAGGACAAATAAATGGCCAACAAACATGGAAAAATGCTCGACATCACTAATCATCAGGGAAATTCAAATTAAAACCACAGTGAGAGTTCATCTTACTCTAGTTAGAATGGCAATTATCAAAAAGACAGAAAATAACAAGTACTGGTAAGGATGTGGAGAAAAGGGAGCTCTCCTACATTGGTGGTGGGAATGTGTTTAACTGGCACAGTCATTGTGGCGAATAGCATGGAGGTTCTTCAGAGAATTGAAAGTCGAACTACTCTTATGACCTAGCAATCCCACTACGGGGTATATGCCCAAAGGAAACTAAATCAATATATCAAAGAGACAACTGGACTCCCATGTTCACTGCAACACTGTACCCAATAGCCAAAAGAGGGAATCAATCTAAATGCCCATCAATGGCTGAATGGATTAAAAAACTGTGGTACATATGCACAATGGAATACTATTTAGCTATATAAAAAAAGAAATCCCATCATTTGCAGTAAGATGGATGTAACTGGAGACTATAATATTAAGTAAAGTAAGTCAGGCACAGAAAGACAAATACCACACTATCTCACTCATATGTGGAATCTCAAAAAAAAAAAATGTTCTCTTAGAAGTAGAGAGTAGAATAATGGTTACCAAAGGCAAGGAGTGTAGGTAGTGCTGGGGAATGGAAGGGGGCAGTGGACGTGATGGATTAACTAGTACAAAACTATGCTATCTACCCTAAGTGAATCATTGTACAGTATATGCACATATTCAAACAACATACTATACCCCACAAACACAGTTAAATCTTAAAATACAAAGAAGTAATCGAAAGGGAAATTAGAAAATACCTTAAGATGAATGAAAATGAACATATAACATACCATAACTCAAGGGATGCAGCTAAAACAGTGCTTAGAGGGAAATGTAGGGCTGTAAATGCCTATATCAACAAAGAAGAAGGGTCTCAAATTAATAACATAATCCTTCCACCTTAAGACACCGGAAAAAATGCAAACTAAATCTAAACAGATAAAAGGAAATAAAAATTAAATCGGAAATTAATGAAATATAGAACAATCAGGGAAAAAAAATGAAACCAAAAACTGGTTCTTTGAAAAATAATTAACAATATCGACAAATCTTTAGCCAAGAAAAAAAAAAAAAAAAAAAAAAAAAGAAGACTCAAAATAATAGACTAGGAAATGAAAGAGAGCACATTACTAATGACCTTACAGGAATAAAAAAAGACTGTAAAGGAAATCTATGAACACTGTATGACAATAATTTAGGAAAGTAAATGAAATGGAGAAATTCCTACAAAGACAGAGACTACTGAAACCAATGCAAGAAGAAACAGAAGATCTGTATAGACCCACAATCAGTGGAGAAACTGAATTAGCAATCAGAAAGCAGGCAGGAAACGGAGCATGCCCAGGGTCCTAGGCAGGAGCTGAGGGCAGCCCCCTCCACTTGTAAGCAGGCAAGGAACACACTGAAAACACCATTTTCACATGGGTGGCCTGCTACAGCCACTGCCACAGTCACAACTGCTGCAAAAGTGGCTCGACGCCACAGCGGTAGCTATAGCCAACTGTGCGGATGGCCCGTCAGACTGCAATGACACAGGAAGAGTCTGCATTGACACAAGAAGAGTCACCAGTAGAGACTGGAAAAAGAAGAGGACGTTTTTCTTCTTAAAGTCCGCTCCAAAGTAATAGAAAGTAGAAACTACTCGACCATGTCCCTGCTTTAATTTCTGATTTTAGTAATTTCATTCTTCTCTCTTTTTTTTCTTAGTCAGTCTAGATAAAAACGTTTTTGATAAAACGTTTGCAAAAGTTGTTGATCTTTCTAAACAGTCAACTTTTCGTTTTGTTCATTTTCTCTATCGTTTTTTAATTTCCTATTTCGTATATTTCTGTTATAATCTTTGTTATTTCCTACTTATATTTGCTTTTGATTTAGTTTGCTCTTCTTTTCCTATTTTTTTAAGGTAGAAGTTTACATTACTGATCTGAGATTTTCTTATTTTTAATATATGTGTTTACAAGTATAAATTTTCCTCTAGGCACTGCATGAGCCCGGCATCCTTTAAATTTTGATATGGTACGCTATGATTTTTATCTCAAAGTACTCTCTAATTTCTCTGTGATTTTTCTTTTTATCCATTGCTTATTTAGGAAGAGTGCTGTTTAATTTCCACACAGTTGTGAATTTTCCAAATTTCCTTCTGTTATTTTGGTCAGAGAATGTATTTTCTATGATCTAAGTCATTTAAACTGTATTAAGACTTGTCTTCTGGCCAAAAAAAATCTGAACAGCAGAAGCCTAATATTGGGCATTAATCTAATTGTTTTCTGTTAATCTTTTAAAAATTACATTAAATAGCTCTATTATATTGAAAAAAATTAGTGTAAAACTCTCAATTCTTTTGTTTAGCTTTTTTTGAATATTTCTTTCTTCTCGATGCCAATATAAATAAAATTGTTTATTTATTTTTTAAATAAGGAAATTGAATTATTAATGAAAATACTACCTGAACAGAAAAACCCAAGCCCAGCTGGCTTCGCTAGTGAAGTCTACCAAATGTTTAAGGAAGAATTAATACCAATTCTTCACGAACTCCACAAAAAAATAGTAGAGGAGAGAACATTTCCCAACTCGTTCCTAGACCAATATTACCCTGACACTAAAATCAGAAAAAGATGTCACAAGAAATGTAGAGATAAGTATCTCTTATGAATATGGACACAAAAATCCTCAACAAAATAGCAGCACACTGATTCCGGCAACATTTAAAATGAAGTATATACTATGGTCAAATGAGATTTACCCCAGGAATGTAACGTTTGCTTAACATCTGAAAATTATTTAATGTAATAAAATAAAAACCAAAACCCACCACATGATCATCTCAATAGATGCAGAAAAAGCATCTGACAAAATCCAATATCTTTTCATGATAAAAACACTCAATAAACTAGGAATAGAATCTCTAAGACTTGTCTTCTGGCCAAAAAAAATCTGAACAGCAGAAGCCTAATATTGGGCATTAATCTAATTGTTTTCTGTTAATCTTTTAAAAATTACATTAAATAGCTCTATTATATTGAAAAAAAATAGTGTAAAACTCTCAATTCTTTTGTTCAGGTTTTTTTGAATATTTCTTTTCGATGCCAATATAAATAAAATTGTTTTTTATTTTTTTAAAAAAGGAAATTGAATTATTAATCAAAATACTACCTGAACAGAAAAACCCAAGCCCAGCTGGCTTCACTAGTGAAGTCTACCAAATGTTTAAAGAAGAATTAATACCAATTCTTCACGAACTCCACAAAAAATAGTAGAGGAGAGAACATTATTCAACTCATTCTGAGACCAATAT